AAGTGCCCCTATTATGCCATTTTTAAGGTTGCTAATATTGTTTTATGAGTCTCCTAAAACAGGTTTACATGCATGCAAGGTCATGAAGGTTTTCTCAAAAAATAGATTTAATTTTACATAATTTCTAAATGATTCGTAAACGACTCGTGTGAAGCAGTTCAAAGAATCAGTCTCTCTAAACCCATCCTTTCCGTGAGCCCTCACTGCTGTGATTGGTCAGATGGCGCAGTCCTTTGTGATTGGTCCAGAGCCGTAGAGAGATTGTCTCTGGATTGGTCTAACGCGTACAGCACGTGTCGGAAACGAAACGCCCATTGCTATGACGGAATGACAGCCCTGGAGACTTGTCAATACATAGAAAAGATGGTATCGATTGTACCTTACCAATTCGAGCCGGAGTCTGATGATGAAACAGTTGAACTGGCTGATCGACAAGAGACTGATTCGCAAGCACGACTGGAGCAGGACGTTTCTCAGTGGTAAGTGTCAAGTGTTAACAAGTTTGTGGTAATTATAAGATTATAAGAAGAGAACAAATTTACTCTCACAGCATAGGATACAGCATATTCTCGACATGATGTTAACCACACGGAAATTTTACTGTTTGTGGGTGGGCAAGTTGGCGACGTAGAACATGGGCAGACATTATGCAAATGTGTTACTTCTTGACGTAGAGCCGTAACAGAATAAGATTCTAATTCCTGATGACTCGTTTAGGCAAGTGCGAGCCGACTCTTTTTTTTTTGATAGACAATAACTTTATTTATTGTGCACTGTCGGCTTCACAACTTTGCAGATAGTTTATGTTCACATACAACTACATGACACACTGCATGAAAGGTAATATTCGAAAAGGCATAATTGGGGCACTTTAATACTAGTACTATCATAATAGTCAGATATGGTTTGAAACATCTGATTGATCCCATTTGTCCATGGTAAACGTGTTTTCCGGAATCTCACCTTGCATGTCATTGGCGAAACAGTAAACATCAAACAGTTCCGAAGGGTCCCGTTTCCCATAATTCCTCACTCCAGGAGAAAACTCTGCGTGTCCATAGCAGCCGAGCTCGGGTCTCTGTATGGGATACCTGTGGAGAGGAGAATATCCATATGTAAATAAAGCTGTGCTGTCATGGAGATGCTAATAAATAATTTCACTACAATATTATAATAGGATCCTTATAATAGCTCAAGGTGAAGCATGTCTGTCTGGCTGGAGTTTAATAGTCCTTCATCAACACTGAAAGATATGCTGTGATTGCTAAAGTTCACAAACAACTGTCCAAACCGTCAGGAGGAACTTCACCTCCTTATACTTATACACTTATAATACATCCGGCTGCTTGCCCGAGCCTTACCCAGAATTGGCGGCTATCCAAGGGCTGTAAGTTCTCGTCCATTCTTACGGCCAAGGCTTACAGAGCCGCTGGACAGGCTGCCTCCGCCCTGCTCGCCATGGCACTCCTGCAGGTATACCAGGCCAAGGCACTAAAAGAGTTGCACGAGGGTAGTTCTGACCCAGGGCTGATGCAGGAGCTGCGCACAGCGACAGACCTCGCCCTGAGAGAAACGAAAGTCACTGCGCGCTCCCTGGGTCAGACGATGGCCACGTTGGTGGTCCCGGAACACCATCTCTGGCTAAACCTGGCGGATATGTAGGAGACGGACAAATATCATTTTCTCGACTCCCCTATCTCCCAGGCCGGCCTATTTGGCAATGCAGTCGAGAGTTTTGCCCAACAGTTCTAGGCTGCCCAAAGCGCACAGCGACAGACATCGCCTTGATAGCGACGAAAGTCACTGCGCGCTCCCTGGGTCAGACGATGGCCACGTTGGTGGTCCAGGAGCACCATCTCTGGCTGAACCTGGTAGATATGCGGGAGACCGACAAATATTGTTTTCTCGACTCCCCTATCTCCCAGGCCGGCCTATTTGGCGATGCAGTCGAGAGCTTTGCCCAACAGTTCTCGGCTGCCCAGAAGCAGACAGAGGCTATCAAGCACACCCCGCCGCTGGCTGCAGCTGCAGATGCCTCTCCAGACACGTCCCATTGCACAGCTGGCCCCGCGGTCTACGCAAGTATGCGATTCCCCCAGTGAGCATACTTGCACAGACGTTGTGCAAAGTCAGGGAGGATGAGGAGCAGGTCCTGCTAGTTGCACCTTACTGCCCCAACCGGACCTGGTTCCTGGAACTGATGCTCCTCGCAACAGCCCCTCCCTGGGCTCATTCCTCTGAGGAAAGATCTACTTTCTCAGAGACGGGCCAGATCTGTGGAACCTCCACGTGTGGTCCCTAGACGGGACGTGTAGGTCTTAGGTGATCTACCCCAGGCGGTGGGAGACACCATCACTTCGGCAAGAGCACCCTCTATGAGGCGTGCCTATACCTTGAAGTGGAACCTTTTCGTTGAATGGTGCTATTCTCACCGGGAAGACCCCTGGAGATGCCCGATCAGAGCTGTGCTTTCCTTCCTCCAAGAGGGGTTGGAGAGAAGGCTGTCTCCTTCCACCCTAAACGTATATGTTGCCGCCATTGCCACACATCACAATCCTGTAGACGGTGAGTCTTTGGGAAAGCACAACCTGATCATCAGCTTCCTGAGGGGCGCAAGGAGATTAAATCCTCTTCGCCCTAACCCCGTACTCTCATGGGATCTCCCTCTGGTGCTTAAGACATTGCAGAAGGCCCCTTTTGAGCCGCTGCAGTCTGCAGAGCTGAGAACTCAGTTGATAAAGACAGTGCCCTTAACTGCGCTGGCTTCCATCAAGAGGGTAGGGGACCTGCATGCATTTTCGGTCAACGAATCGTGCCTGGAATTCGGGCCTGCTAACTCTCACATTATCTGAGACCCCGGCCCGGATATGTGCCCAAGGTTCCAGCCACGCCTTTCAGGGATCAGGTGGTGAACCTGCAAGCGCTGCCCTCGAAGGAGGTAGACCCAGCCCTAGCTTTGCTCGGTCCCGTTCGCGCTTTACGTATGTAACCCTCGTTCCCTGAAGGAGGGAATGGAGACATCGCGTCCCATCACCACAGTTGCTGTACCACCACGAGGCACCGGGTCACTGGCTCGACTCCTCAGCGAAAACCTGAATATGCGTTGCACCTGCTGCCTACTTATACTCGCGCTGCATCCATCTAAATAAATAAATAAATACATACATACATACATAAAAAATTTAGCTAAACTAATCTTTTAAAAATATTACTTTTATTTTAAATTAATAATAATAATAATAATAATTGTTGTATACATTGTGCAATGTATAATATTAATACACAATGCATAATTAAAATAATAAAGTAATAATAAAATAATGTATTTCTTTTTACAAATTATTCTTATTCTTCTTATTACAGTTATAATTATAGTATATTATGTATTAATTTTATGTATTTAATATTTATGATTTACTAAATTAATAAATATACAAATAATTTAATGTATAGAATTATAACAATATAAAAAATAATACAATAATAATAATAATAATTGTATTTATTTGATTATTTACAAAAAAAATCTATGTATTTATATTATGCATTCAATATTTATTATTTACTAAATAAATAAACATACTAAATAATATACTATTAAGTATACTATGTACTAAATACATATGTGAATTTCTGAAAGCTCAAAGCAAACCTTCAGGAACAACCTTACAAACTGAGTTTAATTTGTGTAGACCCATAACAAAAACATCATTAATAAAATATTAATATTAATATATAATATTAATTCATAAATTATTAGTAAATTATTATTATTTCAAAATTATTATTATTTTAAATTCTTATTTTAATTATTACTCATTAAAATTGTGTTTCAGGTTACAATCAAGTTTGACTCAACCCTCAGTTTATAAAAAAAAAAAACAGATATAATTTGTTTTAGCATTCTATTACACTCCCTGATATTTCCTGACTGATGCTCATGAGTCAAACCTGACGCTCTGGTCTCTGAGCCATCCGGCCGCACAGTTGTTCATGCCGGAGTGAAACGCCGCCCACAGCTGCTCAGGGGTCGCGACCTCAGCCGAGTTCTCCTCACACGCACGAACGGCCTCGGCGAACGACAGCGAATAACGCTCCGCGGGAGAACGGTAGTGAAACACCACACCTGAAAACACACAGAAACATCAACATCAGAAAACAACCAGAGGCACAAACAAGCACTGGGTGATAATAATTGGCCAATATTCATGTTTTTCAATGGTCTTATACTTTTTTCTCTTTTAGAAGAGGTCAGAACAGTTTATTATATTTTACATTTATTTTACACTTGTCACAAAACAGTAATAAAATAGTAATAATCTTAATATATAATATCAATCAATAAAAGTATTATTTAAATTGCTATTAAATTATTATTATTTTCAATTATTATTATTATTATTAATTAAAACCACAACAATAATAATAAATAATTTAGCATTTCTCCACCTTGGAATTATAAGGTTCTATCAGCATTCTGAGCAGTTTTGAGATATTGAGCTTCAAACTTTTTGTGTTCCATAGACTTCTGTAGATAGAACCCTTTTTGTTTTCTAAAAAAAAGGCCCAAAATGTACACAGCTTACAAAAGAAACATCACATAATGTAAATAAGTTATGTTAAGTTAATAAAAATAAGTTAAGTCCCAGAATAAGAATATGTGAATAACTCCATTTTGACAAAAATGTCAGATAGAACACCTTATAATTCCAAGGCGACTATTTAAAAAAATATATATATTTTTTAATCATTTCTTTAATTTTCACTTATTAAAATTGTTTCAAATTACGATAAAGCTCAACTTGTCCCTTAGTTTGTAAAGACAAATATGAGTTTAATTTGTGTAGACTCATTACAAAAAGTATTCATAAAAAGTATAATGTTATTAATATATAATTAATATATAATATATAATTTTATTAATTTCAGTAAAACTAATGTATGCGCTTATTAGTTTTTTTTTCTTTTTCATTTTTATAAGATTAAAAAAATATTTCTACATAGAATTTATTTTAATTTCAGTTTTATTCATTTACTTCAGCTTCAACTTCATTCCATCTCAAATTTTCTTAGAATTTGCTAACTTCAAGTTTAGGTTTTTTTTATCTAATATTTATATTTAATTTGATTTCAGCTTTGTTCAATTACCAAACACAATTTTTAATAGTTTTAGTTAACAATAACAACACTGTTTGAAAGACCATAATTTATCCTGAAATGTGTGTAATACTATAAAATAAGTATTAAAAAAGTCCTGGAAAAGTACAGTAATCAAATATTAAATCAGCAAGTGTCATTATTCAGCTCAATTCAATTTAGTCTGGGTTCAATAATAGTATTAATGTTGCAAAGTGAGTGTCATTATCAGCTCAAATGTTGTGATAAGTGTCAGAACATTAAATCAATAATATCACTAAATATCAATCGTCTGTCACAGCGCATACATTATGTAGAACATTTGAGATGATTTATCTGCGGTTTAGCGTAATTTCCCTCATCAGGTGTCACCTGTTTTCCTCAGAATTCACACAGCCCTCGTTCGCAGGTAATCGATCTCACCGCTCTAATTAAAGAGTTACGGCCAATTAAGCAGTTAATGACAGCCTCAGATGAAAATGAAAATAAAGCCGAGCTAAAGTTAGACGGGAAACGAGGGAAAAAGCTGAAATGAATCTGATATTGACAGTCTGAATGGATGTAATGAGAGGGTAATTAATTCACAGCAGACTCCTGGACTCTTAACGAGCCGCCGCTTTTCCTCAATGTTTATCTGAAAACTGCTGCTCACGATAATTTTAACTCGCTCACTGGGGGTTTACAGACAAATATATTGATCTGTAATTTTTTCTTAATTGAACTGAGAGAACCTACAACATTATTACTGCAGTCATTTTCTGTATAGCTGATTTCAAACAATGGCCACTGTCAAAAGTGCTCTATAAATAAAACATTACACTATTATTTTATAAATATTATAAAATTATTAAAAAAAAAAACACACATATTATACATTAGTATAATGTGTAAAAATATATTTAAAAAATATATATTTTAAAAAACCATATACATTAGTATTAAAAATAATTATAAAAATATAATTGTATAATTTATTAAAATATAATTTTATATAATTAAAATTTTAATTGAAGAACAAATTCAAACTGTTAATTTCTATATCTAGATTTGTTCACAAATGTCAGGGCAGTGTTAATTTAGTATTATTTACAAACCATTATATTATTTATAAATATTTTAAATTATTTTAAAATTTTCACTTTTCATTTGAATTTTAGGTTAGGTTTTAATCATTTTGTTATGTTCTGTTGTCATTTTTAGTTATTTTTAAAATTTCTATTTAGATTTAATTTCTATTTATGTTTTATTTTTAGTAATTTTGGTATTTCAAACTTATTTTAGTTGCCAATGCAAAATTTGTCGTTTTTGTTTAAGTTTACATTTTTCTTCTAATATGTATATTTTTAGCTCATTTCAGATTTATTTCAATTAACAATATTTAGTATTTTCTATTAGGAAAAGTATAGTTTTTGAATATTAAATCAGCTCCCAGTCAAAAAAAAATTATAAAATTGTTTACAATTTAGGATTATTTATATACTATTACAGTATTTATAAATATTTTCGAATGAGCTTTTATTTTTATATTTTGAGTTTTCATTTTCACTTTAAAGTTTTAGTAATTATAATATCTTTTTGAAATTTTTATTACTTGTTTAAAGATTTTCCTACATATTTCGATACAGATTTTTTTTTTAATTCAGTGTTATTAATTTTAATACTGCAGCTTAAACTTATTTCAGTTCATTCCTAACTTTCTCCAAAATTTTTCATCTAATATTTATATTTTAGTTTATTATACCTTTATTTCAGCTTAGACAACAACAAGGATCATATTTTATACTGAAATCTGTGTAATGCTATAAAATATTTATTAAGTCTAGGAAGAATACAGTTAAATCATATTTAATATTAAATCAGCTCCTTTTCATAAACAACTATTAATTCAAACTCTTAATCTCAAACTATTAATTTCTAGCTATTGTTTACAATTTTTAAGGCAGTGTTATTTTATCACATTTGATTAATTCTGCAGCCTACAATAATAGAATATTACAGTTTTTTTCAACTGCTTGCACACAAAATCTTTTCTTGTCACACAATTTCTGAAAGCTGACACTCAAACAGCAGAAGCACACACCAAATCTGCAAAACCATACACTAACAGGAATTGATATTGTGGCAAAGGTGTTTGAATATTGTGTTTGTGATATTTTGAATGCAGTGCTTCATTTTGCAAGAGATGTGAGGCATTTTGCATTTTGTGTGTGCAATTCTTGGATTTGTGTGTAAAGTTTTGAAAAAAAGAGGCAAAGTTTTGAAGATGTGTGTAAAGGCCCATTCACACCAAGCACGAGAACTATAAAGATAACGATAAAGATATAGTTCTAAAAATCATTCTCAATAACACTTTACGGATTCTGTGATCGGCTTGCTCTGAGACGCTGCTAATGATATATGTGAGCCTGGAGCACAAAAGCAGTCTTAAGTCACTGGGGTATATTTGTAGCAATAGCAAAAAATACACTGAATGGGTAAAAATTATCGATTTTTCTTTTATGCCAAAAACCATTAGGATATTAAGTAAAGATAATGTTCCATGAAGATATTTTATAAATTTCCTACCGTAAATATATCAGAACTTAATTTTTTATTAGTAATATGTATTGCTAAGAACTTAATTTTGACAACTTCAAAGGCGATTTCTAAAATTATTCTTTTTTTGCACCCTCAGATTCCAGATTTTCAAATAGTTGCATCTCAGCCAAATATTGTCCTATCATAACA